AGATTTCCCGCGCAATTAGCAGCGAAGTTTCTCCCGTGAACGAGTTGGAGCATTTATTATGCGTGAATGCGCGGCTATTGGGGACACTCAATCCCTCGATTGAGTGTGAGTATATTGACTAGGATTCCGCCATACGAAGGGCCGACGTCTGATTGTCGAGAGAAGTGTATGATCGCCCATCAAGGTGGATGATAATTCGCTGCATAGTGTTACATCCCGTGGAGGATCCACTGTCTGGGATGTTGACAAAAGTCTAGGGCACAACCGTGTCAAAAAAGGAACCATCAGACCCAGTATATGACCTACCATGCCTACTCGGGACTATTAGATAGCATAGCCAAGCCGAACGACTTATACTGCAGCTGAGGAATGTTCCAAAGGGCCAAGCCCGTTTCACCCGGCGGAGTGCAATATGTTGGTAAGCTTCGCGCTACTCCACTCACTAAGGAGTTCTGGTCAGCTCGCTATATCGGGGAGTGATAAACCTGAGTAGCTTGGGAAGGTGTGCTGGGTGGCGGCCATAGAAGCCATCGAAGGTTTTGAAGTAGGATACGCAGGCTTGTTTTTGGAACGAGATGCATTGTAAGCTCCTGTTTTCCTAGCAAGGAAGCTGGCATTTAGCCGTGGTGCTCCGTCGGTGTTGCATAGTTGTTGCGATCTATTGCTGCTTGAGAATGCCCCCTGACGACGATAATATGACCCATTACGAGATTCCCAGGACACAGGAATTAGAAAAAGGTCACAGATTCATCGCGTCGACCATTAATAGACTTGCCGCTGAGTTGGGCCGGAGTTCAAGTTGCTACAAGTCAAGGCGCAACTGGAACACTCATGGCATCGTGTTCAACTATCATGATATAAACAAAAAATGAAATCAGCATTGTTGGGTTGCATTGTGCAAGTTGTCGAAGTGCAAAAGACCCAAAAAAGGTGTGGAGTGTGCATGAATCGAACACGCTACCTCTCCCATGCTAAGGGAACGCTCTACCAATGAGCTAACACCCCTTCGTTGACTTCTGGCCTTCAAATTTAATATCCACAGCTACATATTTGCCTTGGTCCTTTCGTATTTTGCTACCATCTCATCATAGACACCCTGACCAAGAGGCTGAATTCTATGGCAGTACTACACTCAGCGGCTCGCAAGTGCTGAGCGTTGGCATCAGTCAATGTCAGTGGTGAAGCCGACTTTGGACCCGACCGCCACCGCCAACTTCATAACGGGATGTCAGTCGTTGCAGAATCCGGATCACCAGCGTATGTCGTCGACAGTGACGAGGATGTTCAATACATCCCACGACGCCCTCTAGCATCACTCGTTCCACCTCTCATTCGTGAACCAGCCCAGCGCCCTAGAGTCAGGCCATATGTGCGCGAGGTGATTGTGATTAGTAGCGACGAAGACGAGGAAGAAATCCAAGAAATACCACAAGACGACCGATTCGGAGATCAACGGAGGGCTCAGCGCAACCAGCGTGCGTTTTATGACCAAGCAGCACGGCTCAGACGACGGAGAGATGGTGAGCAACTATCACGCTCTAAAAGCAACAACAGGTGCTAAAGTGTTTATGAACAATGATGAATAAGACGATCCCCCATATCCTGATCAACCCCCACGATTACCATCACCCGCTCTCCTTCCACCAATAGCAACCCCACCAAGGATTCGACTGGGTGGTGGTGGCATCCTAGACCGCATCGCCGGTTTCACTAACCGCAACCATAACCTCCTCGAACGCGCTCGTCGTGCCTTCCACGAACGGAGTCTCTATCTCGATGCGTTTAGGCTGGGAGACCGGATACGACAATACAACGCGACCATCAATCTGGAAGAACACGCGGCGTTTGCTAGAATTACCGCTCGTATGAACGCTCTCGAAGCTAATATGCGTCGTATGGCAGACGAAGGAGAAGAGGACGATGAGGCGGACGAGAGGTACGAGGCGTTGCAGCCTCTGCTTTTGGCTGCCGACGTATACGGAGGAGGAAGAGAGGAAATGCCCATTCATTTGCCAAATGCACCAAAATACGAGGTTTCCTTCACCCACGCTGGGCCGATGAAGCCTGGGTTCACGAGCGATTTCGTCCCGCAGACGCTGGAGACGATTACGATTGAAGACGACAGCGAGGCTGAGGAGTTTACAGATGAGGATGACTCGACGATGAAGGGGAATTGGAAGGGAAAGGGAAAAGCACGCCGACGACCCTCGCCTGTTAAACCTGCTATTACTGCACCAGCCCCCACGTTGATTTGTCCCGTATGCAAGGACCCACTGAGGATGGGAGGGACGAGCGAGAACGAGCGGTTGTATGGGTTACGATGCGGACATGTTCTCGATGGGAAATGTCTATGGACGGTTGCCAAGCCGGACGACGGGAATAAGGCAAAGGGACAATTGAAGGACGAGGACGACAAGATGGAGGTCGACCCGAATTTCGAATTTACGTTTACGGCGCCGACGAAGAAGCAGAGGGATGACGATGGGGAATATCAGGAGATTGAGGATCCGACTCCTAGAGTGTTTGGTGGTGTGTCGCGACTACGGTCCGGTCGGGAGAGAGAGATTGTTCCCACTCCGAATCCATCCAGACGTCGACGTGGGCAGTATCGGGGGAGATTGGATGGGGTGGATGACGACCCTGAACAGCAACAAGCTGCAGAAGGATCCACATCCGTAGCAGGAGCGGCAAATTCCCCTCGCTTGGACCTTACCGATCCATTCTTCCCCGTTCTCGTAAACCCACCGACCGCACGGGCGGCTGTGAAACCAAGGGGGAGGCTCAGGCGGAGAAAGGTGCCAAAGACGAGAGGCAAATTGCAAGAAGAGGTGTTTGATTGGACGTGTCCTGTTGAGGGATGTGCACATGCGCATGCGAGCGTTCGTCTCATCATCACGGGTGCACCTTGGAGAAGTGACGAAGAGAAAGGCGCGATAGCCATGTTCCTGTAGTATAGACTCCTTCCCACCAATCTCATTTCCTCTCACGCTGTCATGGGTCATCATGGGGCATAACTTGCAGAAAGACAATGATATTATCTTTTTTCTAATACTCGTAAAAAGCGTCCGTGCTGGCTTTTTTTCGTTCTCGATACATGGAGCAGATAGTGTCCGTTAAGAATATTCTGTATGTGTCTCTGCGCGCCTGCGTGCCTTCGTATGGTGTGCGTTTAAATCGTCAAATTTCTAAAGAGGAACGTCTGCTCTCTCGCTCGCTGCGCTTGCCCCGCTGTGAACTCGAACAAACACGCGTCATACGAATAATCCATAAAGTTGTGAATGTTATCGACGCCGTCGCCGTAGCAGGAATCTTGTCCGATCGGGCATCCATACGCCGCCTTGACCTGTGGCGGTGTGTCCATAACGCCGTCGCCTACAATGGAGGGGATAGATTGGTCAGAGAAGAAAACGATTGGATGAATAGTGGAATGGGGCGTACCGTAGCCCGTGCAACCGCCTTGGAAAGGGTGGTAAAGTCCGAGCCAGTGGCCGACTTCGTGCGTGAGCGTCTTGCCCTCGTTGTAATGCGGCTCGGTTCCATCGGGTATCGAAGAGTATACAATGACGACACCATCATCAATGGTCCCATTGATCGTATTGGCCGTCGTATTTCCAATGTTTACCAGCCACCAGGGAAAAGTAGAATAGCCCAAGAGATCATTGTTCGTCCCTATAACGCCAAACAATTTCTGCTGTCAGTAACGGATTAATTTCTGAACAATGAACGGTCACGTACTGGTGCCAAATCCGACGGTATAAATGTTCAAGGTTGCGGAATCGCCGACCCTCAACGCTTGCTTCATGTCATTCTGAACCGCTTTGTAGACTGGATCCGCACCAATGAACCACGTCTCGTTGAGCGTATAATCGACATGGTCCAGTTGAAAATGAATTCCAGTCTGACTGTATATGGGGGCAACATGAGGGTTGTTAGAGAACGATGATCCTAACCCCTTAAAGAATAGTGGGTACGGAGAAGAAGAAGGCGAACTCACGCGTAATGGTCGTTCATGGCCCCAATGCTCGCGTTGACCATCCAATCTTGCAAAAGCCCGCCTTCAAAGGTCTCGTTTTTATAAATAACGTGCCATGCGACGGAAACATTCGACCGCGCGGTTGGGTCTTCGTCTGGAGCCTTCATCAACAGTTGTTTGCGGGTGGCGGATTCCTTTTCCACACGGGCGACCTCCTCGTCTGAAATCTCCGTCGCACATTTCCTGTAGATAATGAAGAAATACAAATGAGAACTTTTAGCGTATTGTCTCCCTTGAGGTTGGTCCCAAAGGCGAGAGGGCAACATGACTGACCTTCGGGACCCCGAATCGACAGTACCAACAGCGGCGCCGTTTGCAAGGTGATACCACACGCTAGAGAGCGTCCATAATGTCGTGAACTTCATGAAGAAACCGAGAAAAAGAGAAAAAAGTCTAGAAGACGACGGCCTCTGGAGTTGTTTGGGCCGCACTGGGGGTGGTGGTGGTTGCGGTTCAAGGAATCAGTGCGGACAGATTTGTTGGGCGTTGGCCTGCAGGAGTCCGCCCCTCGGGTATTTATACTACCTTATTAAGCGGCCATGAGATATGAGCGCTACGTACGCTGTTCGCTGGAGCCTTTATGCCGGTTAATTGGATTCGGATTTAGACCGTTGGCTGTCAATTCCGAGCCACACTCGGTCAACGCAAATCTCCCGAGGTAACTGCTAAAAAGCCAGCTATAAGTCAAAGAGGAAGAAAAAAACACACTGAGAGAGTTTTCCATATAAAAGAGAAAGAATAACAACTATGGACAAGAATAACGCATAAATCCAGAAGGCGACCACAATCTTTACATATATTATCTCTCCAGACGACCGAACGGCCTACTGGTTGGACCCAGGAATCACCCACTCAACCTCTTCTTGCTTGATCCTGACTTGTTCATCCCCCGAACCAGGCGACGACAACTCGGCCTCGCTGCCCATCGCAGCGACTGCATCCCACTGAACAGCCTGCTCCCCTCCTTCTCCCTCCCTCAACACCTTTCCCACTTTCGCACCCTTTAACCTCAAATACGTAATCACCTCTTTCCCACTCCTCCACCCCGTCGGATTCAACTCCGTCTCTACCCCCCCTTGCACCGTCTCAATCGCATTCGTTCCCCCGGGTACCTTATCAAACAAGCTCTCCCGCACCCCATTCGGATCCGGATTAAAACTTCGCGCCATGAACCCACTCGCGCATACACGCACAGACGGATCGTCCAACTTGCGGATAAACGCGGCCAACCGACGAATCGCGTCCGCTCGCGCACGGAACAGGTGTCGAATCAGCTTGCGCGAAGGCGGTCGCTGGCTTCTCTTCACCTTGGGTGCTCCCGTCGGCGTCGGCGTCGGCGCAGCCGCATCGATGGAGGACAGGGTCGGTGCCGTTGGAGAACTACTACTCCGGACGAGCGCATTCTTCACACTCTCTGGCAGCTTCAAGAACGGGTTCTCCGGAGGTGGTTGGGTGGTCGTATATTGCGTCAAAGCCGAGAGCGACAGGTCCCATCTTTGTGGGCCCCACACACCAACGAGCACACGGTACGCAGAAAGCAGTCTCTTCGCCCTAGTACATCCCGGTCAGTCTTCCTTGAATGAAACGAAGAGAAAAAGGTAGGAGGAAGAGGAGGGAGGAGGTAAAACCGCACCTGAGATAGTTGTCATCGATCAACTTTTGGTGATACGTCGCTAAACCCCAGACGGAAGTTCCAGCGATCAATGCACCAATCGGCGTGACCGCCAGACACATCCAAATGATCCAGAACCAGAACCCATGGATTGCAATAAACAGAACCAAACCGACAACAACCTTGCTCTGCGCAATCGACTCTTCATCCACCGATGCCTTTTCTCCCGCCCAGCGCGTCGTCCAATAAATAGGCAGATTGATCATCAGGGGTACCAAAAACAGCGGGAGACGAATCAGGACGGCAATGCTCTCCCGAAGTAATGGAAGGATGGTCGATAGACGCGATGGGACGGGCGAC